CGAGATGCGCCGCTGCTGTGTTATGCATTCAAAATATTAGAGAAATATAGAAGCTCAATGCGGAGAAGATCTTGATTAGGTTAAAACCGAAGCCAAGCCATTAACACAGAACGCATTTTCAGCATATTTTTTTAGACGGACAAATATTTGCATGTAGCCATGCAAAGTTAAAACAGTTGAAACTTTTAGAAGACACGTCGCGAATTTGTGGAGGTTTATTCATTTTCACTGCGTCTCTTATTTTTTTTAAATGCAATCTGCGTGATGGGCGATTTGGCTCTTTGTATTAAGCAATGCATAAATACATGATGCTGTTTTGTTCATAATTGTTTATGCAGTTTACAAAATTGTTATAAAAAATATAACGATATGAAACATTATATCGTTGATCATTTTTTTAGCTATATCGCCCAGCCCTAAGCTATGCCCCAGATAGTGCTGGGATATATGAAAGTGAGAATGAATTTAAAAAATCTTGTTTTCTCTGCCATATAAATTACGATGCACCTTCAGTGGTGCTCCAGCAACTTCCTACGTAACCTATTTGATTTCGGCTTTTTTAGCATGTTGCCATGTAGTCGCTAAAAATTCCTGAGTGATTTTTAGGTGATTTCTTGATTGATTCTGGACCAAGTCAAAAAAAATATTAGTGCACCTCTCTTCAATAAACAACATGATTTGATTTATCATTCATGTCTGGTTTCAAATCCCTAACACTAAAGGCCCTTTCACACGGGACGCGGCAAACGGTGAAATCACCACACAGTCGCCACTTTCTCTCATAGTGGAAGTGATTTGTGCAGTAGAGACGCTGTTCGTGACGCGGTCTCGGGGCGGATGTTGCCATAGTTGCAAACAACATCACATTTATATTTACTAAAAGCTAAATAAATAAAACATAACGGAACTTTTGTACTTTTGTAACTTATGTGTTATTCGCTATTTATAATTTCATGGGACTAGCATAGTTTTCATGTCAGACGCAGTTAACGTTGACATTTTACACGTAATTGTATTTTTAACTGGCAAACTGACACGTACACGCATGCTCTGGATTCGTTTAGTTATATATCTGTAAGAGATTTTTGATGGATCATAGAACTTCGGGAATTCTGTAACATTTAAAATGATCTTCATTGTGTTTTCAACACTCCGACATGAGCTCAGTGAAATGTTCTATGATTGCGTGCCGCCAGCAAAACTGCCCGCGTTTTGCCGCTTACCACATGTCTCCTATTGAAAATGAACTAGACACTCGCGACTGCCATGTCCCGTATGAAAGGGCCTTAAGTAAGAGCAATAATAAATGAGATTATGCAGAAGATCTTTTAATATTTCAACTGGTTCTTACAGACAGTGTTTTTTAGATTTTTTGTGGAGCAGTAAATGTTACTCCACATGAAGTCCATTTCTGCATGTCGCTTACGTAACGAGAAGCATTTATAAAATCGTAACGAGAAGCATTTATAAAACCACTGTCAACTAAACACACAATTAAAGATCTCCCTGCAGTTTTCTGCTAAAAAAAGCTTGATGGTTTAACACTTGAAAGTGAATAATTTAGTATAGTAACATGTTGTGTAGAATAAAATTATTATAATTAATCATTTTTTTATTTTAAAGTACAGTTTTATCATTACAATAGTATATTTCTGTCTTTATTTTTTATAATTGAAAAAAAAAATAGCATTTTCCTCTTTAACCCTTAAAGACCTAGAACATTTTTGGGGCATCTGACACGCCTGTACTTTTCTTTGTTTTTTCAGACCTATTGTAGCAGTGAGCATCAAGTGCCATATATCATTATAAACAGGAGCACTTGAAGTTTCAGTCTAGCTAATTTAAAGTCGCAATTTTCCCTTTGGTTTCTCTAAGAATTAATGAATTTCCAGAATTTTGAGAAAAATGCAAGCAATAATTGGGTGTTTTTTTACTGTGTACTCAAACAAAAACACCTGAAGTTTGGATTTTTTTTTCTTTAGAAAGTTGTATCTGGGTGTTTTACACTTCCAAATAAAAAATTTTCAACAAATAACATTACCCAAGCAAGTTATAGCCATATATTACAATATTGTTATAGGCGCTTTTCAGTGGAAAAAAAGGACTATTTACTTTACTAACAATATAGATGTGTCCAAAAACATTTAGGGAGTAAAGAAAATGGAAACCGTGTTATATAATAACAAAATATACAGAGTGCAACAGAAAAAAATAGTGCAAATGATCTTTATGAACTATTATTTACATAATATAACAGCCAAATGATTCGATCCGCTGGCTGCACTCTGCGTCAGAATTGATTTTACCGGGACATCGCCTAGTGACGCGAATACCTAAATTCCAGTGCTTTATCCGATATGTACCGCTTTTTCATCCTTGTTCTTTGTTTGTTTTATGTCAAAGTGCTCTGTCCTGTGCTTTTCTGAGCTTTTTCAGAGAGTGCTCTCATGCAAATGTGTTATTGTGTGTTTGTTTTCGTGCACGCACGACACACTTTACTTTCACTTTGCATTTGCTTAGATTTCCAAAGAAACTTGCTAAACAATGGTTCAAAAGACCAAAACCTATGTTTATTGGTTGAATATGTGACAGTTTGAACCAATCTGGTCACGGGGGTGGGACTAAGCATCAACAATCGGACCTGTTTGGCTCAGAGGACGAAATGCATTGGTTTCTTCTGACGAATCAATGTTGTCAAAATGTGATGACGTAATCACGTACGCTACGGAGCCTCTGAATATCCAAATGAAACAAATGCGATATCTCCGAAAAGCGGAGAATCTCTCGACACTTTTTAAAGCATTCAGATAGGATTAGCAGTTCAAAAGTTATTAAACATTTACGAACAATAGTTATTTTTAGTCGCGGGCGGCTGTCTCGGTCTTTGAGGGTTAAACTGCAGTGTATCAAAGACTCAAAAACACGGTTTGAAACTGCCCCTGTTTCCTGCCGTCACAAACATGTAACCAATCCCATCAATGTGTGGGGCAGGGCTTTTCATATCTAGTCACAGGTTTCTATTTACAACGTATTTTTGGAGCATTGAGCATTGTAGCCAATCACAGACATATCTGTTGATGTCTTGAACGCCATGGTCAATCAAATCCACTCACTGCTCAAAACGCCAGAGTTTTGTTCAGTGCTGAGTTCTGCACATTCGCGAATCCTCTCATTATAACAAAGTGTTGCCACAATGCAAATAAGAGATTAATTGAGCAGTTTAGAGCTTCATTGATTATAACGGAACTTTGTGAGATAGCGATGAACTGAGATGAGTGACATCATTTTAGTGATTATATCTCACGGATTCATTCTCGAAATTGCAATGAATGACATAGTGGTAACCATTTATACAATATTGCCACTTGGCATTGAATAGCGTTCACTACTTCTCTTAACTGAGTGAAAGTGGAGCAGGTCTGAGCTGGTTTGAATGGTGGCGGGGACTAATTAGCATATTCATGAGTCTGCATATACTTAATGAGTTGTGGAGTTACATTCAAGTCATTTTAAGACATGAATAAATTATTGCCATGGGAAAAACACTCAAATATGTCATTTTGATTATCAAAGATAAGTTTTAAAGGATAAAATTAGTGGCTGCAGGGGGACTTAAAAAAGTTATGCATTCGATTTTTCGCACAGGCAAATTATTCACGTCAACACTGAAGTATACTTTATACTTTACTCATTTCACAATATTTTCAGAAGAGAACTTAAAATGTCTCAGATGAGATGTGCAATCAAAAGTCAAAGATTTCAGTGTAAACTGTAAGTCTCTTCTAAGACCAAATAATCTGAGCTAAACTATCCACATTCCGTTTGCAGCTCTCTACTCTTCCTGTATATCAACAAATAGTTTTCTTACTGCACTCCTTCTTGGGTTCGTCTGACCGATCCTTGCAGTCCTTCACGTTGTCACACACCTTGCTCCCGTCTATGCATTCCCCATTCCTGCAGAGGAACTTCAGAGGTCCTTCACACTTTGTGGCTAAAGCATGAGAGGGAAATAAAAGGCAAAAGATGCTTACAGAACAGATGGCTTCTGATTTGTTAAGTTCATTTCAGTTTAGCTTTGTTTCCTCCCACATAAGCACAAATACTCAGAGGTCTCTCGTGCACAGATACAGACTGGAGATTTAACAGACGTGGGCCGTTTAGGTGAAGTCTCTGCACGTCTTCCATATAAAAGCCACTTTCAAAAGGATTGGCCAATTTATGTCCACACATGAAAGCTTATTACTGCTTAGACACACTACTGCTATGGACAGACAGGTCTGCACTCATTAAACTTTGAAGGGTGTCGTATTAAAGGCCGGAACCAATCTCTGGGATACATTTCAACCTGCTGAATAAGCAGCACAAAAGATTTGTGCAAAGAAGTACACACACATACACATACACATACACACACACACACTCGCTAAGACGTACCATTGACACAGCCAGCCTCGTCGCTTTTGTCGAGGCAGTCATGTATTTTGTTGCACTGTTTGATGCCATGGATGCAGGATCCGTCTCCACACTGGAACTCATCAGGCCGGCATGTGAGCAGAGCTGCAGATGAGCCAAACACAGCACAGACATCAGCCAAACGCAGACACACAGACTCCAAACAGACCTTCACGGTATTTTTTCTGTAGGGAACATGCATTGGAGCGTCATAATTGGTAAACACCCCTATGAATACTTATGTTGTCTGTAATTCATTAAAAAAGGGAAAAATTACCTTTTTTATATACTGTATATACAGTGCTTAAAAAATGTATTAGACCACCACCACCCAGTGTAAGGTTTATGCCACAGCTGCCCTAAACCAACAGTATTGGTGGTTACCAAAATCATCTTTTTATCCAGCAGTATATGTAAGCTCTTTAGTCACTTATGCTAAAATATAATTATTATTGTTATCCATGAATTTTCAATTTTACTGTTTTACAAGAAAGGCAGAAAAATAGTCAAGCAAAAACATTTTTAAATTCAGATGCCCATATTTAGACTATTTAGTTGTTTGTTATTTTCCTAATAAATTACAATATATTTTTTTTAATTCGTTTTTGACAGATTCCTAAAATATTTGTGTTTATTATGACAGGTGGTCTGCTTCTGACAGGCAGTACTAAATTAAAAAATATTATATTTAAACAAAATAAGAAAAATTTACACCTTGGCACTTAATGCATCGTGTTTCCCTCTGTAGCATCAGTGAATTTTTGAACATTTTGTAACAGCTGTAATAGTTTTGTAATAGCATATGAGTCCCTCAGTGTGAAAAGATAGATAACCAAAGCATTTGCGGGACCTGGAGGATTTTTGTGAAGAACAGCGGGCAGTTTAACTGTTCAGGACAATCAAGAGACTCATGAACAACATCACAAAACACACACACACGGATCATAGGTAACAACACACAGTATTAAGAACCAAATGTATGTAAACTTTTGAACGGGGTTATTTTTATAAATTCAACTATTTTGTCTTGTGGACTATACAGTGGTGTGAAAAAGTGTTGGCCCCCTTCCTGATTTCTTTTTTTTTTTTTCATGTTTGTCACACTTTAATGTTTCAGGTTATCAAACAAATTTAAATATTAGTCCAAGATAACACAAGTAAACACAACATGCAGTTTTTAAATGAAGGTTTTTATTATTAAGGGAAAACAAAATCCAAAACTACATGTTTGATGATCTGAAACATTAAAGTGTGACAAACATGCAAAAAAATAAGAAATCAGGAAGGGGGCCAACACTTTTTCACACCACTGTATGTGAAGATCTTTTATGTACGATATTTTATTTAAAAAGTACTCATTACATGCATTTTGCATGATCCCTCTTATTTTGTTAAAATAATTAACATTTTGCAGATTCTGCAAGGTGTATGTAAACTTTTGACCACAACTGTACACACACACATACAGACACACACTGTACACATACAGAGTATATGAGCATTCCGTGTTTGCTGTAAGATCTAAAAACAAATCCGACCTGATCTCAAAGTGTGTGTGGCTGTCATGACACTTTAAAGGCACTTTCAAAGTCCAAGAAAATGCACAAACACACAAATGTGATCTAACACTAAAGCGTTCCTCTTTAGTGTTTAGTTTTTCTGGAGAGCTGCTTTTGAATAACTGCGGCTTAATTACGCAAACACATCTGAGAACACAAACAATATTGGCCATTATGAAGTCCAAAGTAAAACCTCCTGAAATGCTGCATAAGAACGAGGGATTAATGTGATTATAGAGCAGTCTGTGGTGGATGTATCCTCCCTCTATTGCAAGGGCTTTAAGATGCTCAAGGACACACGCTTAACGGTTGCCTAGTAACGCACGTATCACTCTGCTCGCCCGGTTTCCCTCCGGCCTGGGCAAAGCGACATCATAATTGACCTGGATGTGTTACCTGACGGTGGGAATGAAGAAAGAGGCAGCAGGTTTAAAACAAAAACCCAGTGAGCTTATCTTGCCAACAGAAGTCAAGTATAAGAATGCATCGTAATTAAAATCAGGCCCTCTCCAGAGCACCCGTCTTTCTCCCATGACTCTCGAGATCTTAAGGTCGGTTTATACTCCTGGGATCTTGTTGTTTACCAAAGCCGCTCTTCTTAGACTGTTATGTTAGATAACAAACACCTTGTGGCAGCTCCATTTTGTCAGAGGTGCCTGGGGAATGAGTATGACAGCGGTGATGTGAATCTGAATTTGGGTGTGGCCTGGAGATTTTGGATGTGAAAGGATGTGACAGCATTTTGACAAATCTGATTTCTGATGCCCATCAAAGTCATTGCTGATGTATATGAAATGAAATTGCAAAATCGAAACAAACCACCTTGTGCGTTATTGTAACTAGGGCTGGGTGGTGAGAGGTATACCGTTCAATAGAAGTGTAGTCTCGCGTAGGCAGACCTTCAGACTGACGGCTGAAGGTCTGGAATCCATGGCAGCTTTCATTGGCCAAGGCCTGCCCATGAGGCCGTTTGACCGACATGTGTGGGTGTGACGTCTGAGGCTGAGACGAATAGAAGTGGAAATGCATTAATGTAGAATTCTGATGTGTGGTCAATTTTATATATATATCAGCTATTTTAAAATGGCTACAAGTGGTACTTTATTAATATGGTTTGACAAGTCACAAATCTGAAGTATGGAAGCCCGTTTCTGCCACTGAATAAAAAATAAAAAAGGTAATTGCGACTTTTTATCTCACAATTCTGACTTTTTTTTCTCAGAATTGCATGATATAAACTCGCAATTGCAAGTTATAATGTCTTTTTCTCACTTTTTTCTCAGAATTGTGAGATATAAAGTTGCAATTCTGAGAAAATATCAGTCTTTTTCCCCCTCAGAATTGGACTTTATCCTCCTGAGACCCTGCATCCTCATATGAGGACATTATATTTTAGTGAATTTCTCTGAGACTATACATGCCACAGTTTTAAGTCTGGATGTCCTGTACAGAGCACATTCAGGGCTTTTCAGAGATACTAAATGTTTGGATGTTTCACCACGGGACTAAAAGCATATTTATTACGCATTTTGGGAGACACAACAAATGAATAGGGAGAAAATTATATTTCAATATTCCTATGAAATATTATATATTATTATGAAAATCTTGTAATAAAAAATAATAAATCCTGAAAACTAAAAATGTATTGGTGATTTAAAAAAAAATCAATTGTTTTTGCCTATGCATGTTCATTCATGTCTTTTTATTTTTTTTAAACAAGCTGAGTCCCGATGTCCTCTACCAAGGACGTAGCATATCTTATGAATGAAATATCATTTAAATTGTTTTTTTTTTTAATGCTCTAAACAATGTAATGACATGAAAAAAAATTAAAAAAATTCCTAAAATGTTTTGCTGGGTCTCAAGAGGTTAAAACTCACAATTGCGAGGTTATATCTCGCAATTCTGAGAAAAAAAGTCAGAAAAATACTTTATTTCTTGCAATTGCAAGTTTATACCATAATTCTGAATTTATATATTGCAATTCTGACTTTATAACTCACAATTGCAAGTTAATATCTCACAATTCTGAGGGAAAAAAGTCATAATTGCGAGTATGTATCACGCAATTTTGAGAAAAAAAGTCAGAATTGTGAGATAAAAAGTCACAATTACCTTTTTTATTTTTTATTTAGTGGCAGAAACGGGCTTCCATACTTCAGATTTGTTGCTTATCAAACCATATTAATAAAGTACCACTTGTCTGAGTCTTGCATTTTAAACAAGTGTACCTCACACATCCTGAAAAGTGAAGCCAAAACATTTTGATCACCTTCTGGTGTCTGGTTGCAGTATAGGTCATAAACCCTGCCATCTCCATGTAAAGGAATGGGACGTAAGCAAAACTTCAATAACACGACTCCGCCTTACAATCACTACTCCGCAGACTCTGGCTCCAAATGAATCAGTACTGTGCAGACTCAGGCTCCAAATGATTAATTTCTGCACAGACTCTGGCTCCAAATGAATCACTACTGCGCAGACTCGGACTCCAAATGAATCACTACTGCGCAGACTCGGGCTCCAAATGAATCACTACTGCGCAGACTCCGGCTCCAAATGATCCAAATGTATCAAGA